TAGAATATACTACTCCAACCAAAGAACGTCATCTCTTGTGATAAAAAACAACTGCACTAGTAAACCAGAATCGATAATGGATCATAGCCATCTAATATATTTGTTCAAATGTAATATTGGTGAGTGTGGGCACCATAATTATGAATATATTGGTATGACGGCGGCGACTAAGTTATCGAGAAAACTCACGATGCACGTGCAAACTGACGCTATAAAGAATCACATGGAAGAGAACCACAAAACTAAAATTACTAACGCCAAACATGCAGTGATTTTCATCAATAATTGCATTTCTGACAGTCTTAGTCCAATATATATCTACATGTTATACATTATACTGTTGGCAATATTGCTAAAAAAAACTTTTTTTGTTACATTTGAATAATTTTAATTTTATTAGCTTTAATTTAATAATCTTATTAATTTATTTTTATTTTAGTATATGTTAATGTTTAACATAATAATGATAAAATGAATATTAAAAAACATTTTGTTAATTTAAGTTATATAATAAATTACAATATACTATTGGTAAAATAGAAAAATTTAAATATAAATTAATTGACAATAATGTACCAATTGAATTTAATGATAATTGCTTACCTAATGGCCTTTTCCCTTTATATATATATATATATATATATATATATATATATATATATATATATATATATATATATATAAGAGAGAGAGAACATGCGTGTGTTGTATGTACCTCATTAGCGGTCGAATGAGGATTTGCCAAGAGTCACCTAAGTTTATCGGAAATTGGTTTTTGTCTCTTTTACATGCAGTATGAAGTTGTTAATATGTTAAACAAAAAAATAAACAGTTTAAAAGGGATCGCGGCATTTAAAAATTTGAGCAATACAAGATTGTGACTGAAATTTTTTTAATTCATTAAATATGTAATTCTTATAAAATGTGTTTATATTTTTTACAGCTCTCTTGCCAGCCATCTTTGTTTAACATGGTAAATAAAAAATAGAAAATATTGAATTCTTTTCTTCCTAAGTCATGGATATGTCAAACCAAGTTTTAGCGCACATATTATTTGAACTTTTTGGAGAAAATGTGGTTGAAAAAAGTAATACTTTTGAAGACAACCTCAAATTATTGTCTACATCATTTTCTTCGTCACAACTTTTTGCTTCAAAATATTTGACAAATATTAACAATTATGAATATCTTACTTTTTTCAAATCCCTTTTTCAAAAGGATTCGATGATAACTTGGCTATTCAAAAATGAATTGTCAGTTATAAAAAACGTGATTGCGTCTTTTTATTTCAAGAGCTGTGTGCCTGAATTTACAAACAGAGATGATCTTGGATATAAAAATAGCGATTTCAAAGATATCCCAAAATTATCATCACTTGGAATGGAAATATTTATAGAATTACTCAGATTCTTTAATGTTTATGAAGATAAATCAACATCCTTATTTGTACACTGGATTAAATTGTATTCTGTTTTGTTATCGTTGGAACATTCAGATTCTAATTTGTGGAGCGACAGTTGTTCAAAAAAAACATTGAAAGTTTTAAATAGTTTTTTGTTGCCACAAAACTCTAGCCTGAGCGAAATTTTATTAATGAAAAGCCCGGATTCAACAAAAATGTACATTTACCGAGAGTTGTTGTCTCTGATACAACCGAAATTAACGAAACAGAACTGGAAATGGAATCCTGCCTGTCCATTTATTTTCAAGCATCTTGTGAAAAACATCAAATTTCCTCACGTCAGTGAATGTCTTGAGTTCTTATTACCACCTTGTTTGTTATTGATTGACGACTTTGAAGATAAACATAAAATAATTGGCTTTGAATGCCTATCACATATTTTGAGCAACAGCACTAAAGAAGAAGTTAAATGGTGCAGCAGGATTGATGTTATTTACGACTGTTGTAATAGGCAGTTTTATTGTAAAAATGAGAACGTTGCAAAGCTTTTCATACCATGTTTGTTCCAGGTATTGTCAATTATTGAGAAACCGTTATCGGGTGTGGATCGCGTCAGTCAAGATACGTATCATGATAAATCGTTTCGTAAATTTATAATGCAAATGGACGTTGAAACACAATTAGTTCTTAAGCTGATATATAGCAGTTATTTAATCGAATTCATTAAAATAATGAATTTGCATTGTCTCAAGCATCTAGTAATACTTCTACCTTTGATCAAAACTTATTTGAATAATTATTCAAGTGATTGGAATAAACATTGTACAAAAAATGTTTTAGTGTCGATATATCATCTAATTCAAGTCATTTGGCCTCAAATTTCACTCCATGTTTATGAAATACTTGAATGCCTCTTAATATTAGTGTACAATGTTTCTCAAGACAAAGATTGGCCTAATGAATCAACCTGTGAATTATTGGAGTGTGCAAAATCATGCGTCAATCTTCTCGATCAACTTTCACCATTAGACATTCGAAATTTATTGGTATCATTAACTGAATGTAAAATAGATTGTAATATTAGGAACAGTATTTTGTTACTAACTGAGAAAAATTGATCTGATGAATAATAAACATTTTTGTAGCAAGAAAGTTATTTGATTGAAATTGCAGATGGTATCATTTATTGTGTTGATTAGTACAATATTTTACAAAAACTTGACTTATTTTCGTCGCGGTGAGAAGTTAAAATTGTTACAAAGTTTGAGCATTTTAAGGTCCGTAGGCTTAAACGCAACAAAGCTCAATCAATTAGTCTACAAAGCGCTATTTCCGCGATGTTCAACAGCGCTCTTCAATGAACTTTGCAAACAGATAGGTCTTGAGATCCGCTCTGAACTTCGTAAGTGACGGAGAAGTAGTCAAAGAAGGAGGTAGAGAGTTCCAGAGAAAAGAGCCAGAAAAAGCAAATGCAGAGTTAGCAATAGAGTGTTTAACACGAGTTTAGAAGTGAGAACAAGAAGACGATGTAAACCGGAGCGTTTAGATTCAATTAATGTATCTGATAAGTAATTAGGAAATAATTTAGATTGAGACTTATACATAAATTTGCAAATTTTAAAAATTATTCTGTATTTCATAGGTAGCCAGTGCAAGAGAACGAGATGCGGAGATATATGAGAAAAGAAAGGGGCACAAGCAACTAGACGAACTTCAGAGTTAAAAGCTTTACGTAAAGGGTAGAGTGTAGAACCAGGAAGACTATAGTAGAGCGAGTTACAATAATCAATCTTAGATAAGACTAACGAAGTAGCAAGAAGAAGAGTAGGATCGTCAAGAAAAGGCCAAAGTTCTTTTTATTATACGTAGATGAAAGTAAGAACTTCTTACGACACTATTAATCTGAGACGAAAGACACATAATAGAATCAAAAATAAAGACGTGTTTAGAGCTCGTAATTCTAAGGGTCAATGAGTTGTCAAATTTTTTGTATTTTAATTAAATGGTTTTGCGAATGTCATTGTTATGACATTTGTAACATCTGTGGAATGTTTCTCAGCTTTGGGAAAATTTATTTTTGAACATTTCAAAAGTTTATATTTCAGCCACATAACTAGAATAAAATATTTTGTATGCCTAGAAAGTTACATTTGAGAAGTATGTAGTGGAATAATAAAATTTTAACTTTAAATCATTTTTAATCATAACTCCGACATAAAAAAAAGTTTTATAGACGTACAACTTATCTCTTAAAACATGATGAACTATCATAATGTAGGCTTAACTATGACATGATATCAGGAATGTTTGACTCCAGCTGAATGTTTATGTCAATATTATCAGAGGATGTGTAAGCAATAATTCGTTCTAATTTCTTTAAGAATGAAATTGGACATTGTATAGCCTACTAAGATTTTTCTCTAATGCGTCAGGTACAGATACCTTGGTTGTCTTAAAACATCAGCACAACAAAGTAAATAAAGTTATATGCTTTACACATTTCATTTCTATTATAAAATAAATGTTTTTAAACTAAAATATCATCATTAGCCAACAATAATCCTTTGTTCGACAAGACGCGTCAAAAATTCAGTTAAGATTAGGGAGGATCTTAAGTAGCATAGCGTCTTATTGGAGAAATACGGAAGACAATAAGTAGAACAATTGCTCGTTTATACGATTCTGGAGGACCCCAAGAAAGTGGAACCTGGCATAGTTTGTTCAGATTATATGTAAATCCCGCATTGATAATCTATTTAAACGATTGACATAACATTGTCAGCAGTGTCTGAACCAAAATGCATCTTAGTTTGAAAATAGATAGTGAACAAACAGTATGATATTGTTAAATATTTTTACGTTTATGAATAATAAAATTAAGATAAACTCCATATTTGTAACCTTTTAAAATATGTAATGATTGCGATTACCTGTACGTACATTGAGGTAAAATAAACTAGCCTGAAGTTTACGAAATTGACAAAAATGTAATGATATCAAAAGCGAAAAATACGAAACGAATTTTTGTTACTTTCATCCCATTGATTAACAATAACGAAAACTCATAGTTGACATTAAATGTTGATGTTTTTTCGTAGTAATTAGACCAAAAATGTGCCCAGATCAAGTATTGGTGTGTTGGAGTCGGAGATTATGGCTGAGTCTGAATTTTTTGAGGGGATTATTTTTTATCCTACTCTGGCTTCAGAAACTGTTGAATTTAAATTTTTTTATTTCAAAAATATTTTAAGATCGTATTTTTAAGAAGATGAATATATATATCGGTATGCAATCATCTTTAAAACAAGATATATAATAATTACCCATACGTCTCAATATAATCACACAATTTTCTTTCGGTATTTTTTAAAACATAAAAGCTGTTTTACTAGGAGAAAAGGATTACATTGATTGATTCAGTGTTTTTTAATTATTTTTCATTTATTATTAATTTCAGTATTCTGAAATATGTTAATATTCAAGTAAAACTATGATGTAAAATTTGAAAATTTTTTCTTAGACTCAGAGTCGGAAATTTTTATCGGGAGTCGTAGTCGGAATTTTTCGTCCGACTCCGACATCCTGGAAAGAGCCACGCTCGCATATGTCAAATTGTAAATTAGATCTTTTAAGTTTTTTGTTAATTAATAAGTTGGCTCCACCCTTTTGTTTGAGTTTGACATTGTAGTGTTAATGTTTTAAACTTATGTTTAAAAAGTGTTACACTATTCCTGTTTGCACCGAGGTATTGTACTATATTATTAAAAAAACAAACATGAGAAGTTAATGTGTAACGAAAGAAAAGAAATTATTATTTTGTTAACGTCGCCATTTTGAGCTAACCAATTTTGTTTTGAACCTAATCAAATCGAGTTTAATGCACGTTTCGTCGGTGTAGTGGAATCTGAAAATGCTATTGCCAACCGCACGTTTCTAGCTGATGTCGCATAAGATTGCTTTTGACATACCTACCATGTCTGTCGTCGCTAAATAATTGCTTAAATTTTTATAACACCAATTTTAAAAAGTTCTCCCGAATCAATAAAACGATCTATTTATCTAATCTTGTGCATTCATACGTTGAAATATATGGAATCATTTGATTGTAAATAAATAAATTGAAGTGAATGTTCAAATGATAACATCAAACGAAGTCAAAGCAGCTGAATATGTCATCCTAATCACAGCAGCACTGACCTCACTTGAAACTATCAAATGACTGACTGATTGTCTTAATAACTTCCTTTTAAATTATTTATCGACTTTTGTTTTATTTCATCATATAAACCAACCTTTAATTTTTTAATAACAAACGACACGAAGGTAAAATAATTTGAACATTTTTAGGTAGATAATTTTTTTTTCACATATTTATAAAATCTTCAAAATGTGTTTTATAAATCAGTTTGCAATTGAAGAATTATAAAATGCGTTTTATAAATAAAAATTTAAAATAAAAACTGCTAATGGAAATACAAACTGATTTTGGAGGCGGGCGGGAAGCTTCATTTCAAAAAAGAAGAACTACATGATAGGCAGTTAGCGCGTGGAAAATCATCATTATTTTAATAGGCTCATTATTTTATCCGTCATGTGAGAGTTTTCCGTTCGTCATATCTGCTTGCTTCCAGTGGCCATGTTCTGGCTGGCACCTAAGAAATTAATTTGAAAGCTTCGTTTGATTACTTGATGTTGGTTATAGAATGCGCTGTTTGTTTTTAATAATGTTTGATGTTATAAATTGTATAAAGCACAAGTTTGCTAACCGGGATAAAATTGCTGATAAGAAGATTGGTTATTCAAAGTGCAAGTTCGACTGTGGCAAACTTACATCTATATGTTTTTTTTATTTGCTTCGAAGGTTCGACTTGAATGTCACTTGTAAGTCGTGCATTTTCGCTTTCTGCTAATTAAAAATTGAAATTTTTAAATAATTTCATTTAAGTAGATTCAAACGATTGATGAAAGTGAAAATGCGTGAAAGTGTTTTAACCTTATAAATGATTTGATAAGCACGTGTTTTACTACAAATTCGAATCTCAAACCCAAATAAATTTACTGAACCTGAAGTTTCATTAAAACTGTTAAAGACTTAGTTGATGTAAAAAAAGGAACATGTAACTTTAAAAAAATGAGCCTGCTCTTGATTGTTCGAGAGACAGACATTAAATGATGCGAAGAGGACAGACGTCGACAATAAAACTACGCCACAATTTCTTTGTCCTCATTCATGATTGCTGCTCTCTCACTTTGCATCAGCATCTCCTCTGCATGCTTCTTTGTGCTCTTCAGCATATTCATTTTCGCGATTGCACAGCAAGTGACGGCTGTTGCTGGTGTGCGCGTGCCAATTTATCATTGTTTCAACGAAACAGTTTTATGCTTAAATGTAATAATTTAACAATTTAATGATTGCATTTTATGTTACAATTTTGCTCGTTTTTTTTATATTTGGTTTGCAGTTTAGTTTGTTTGTGATATAGTGTGCGATGAAAAAAGCATTGTGCGAGAGAGGGACAAGCAAGGGATGCAAACGAGCTGCAGACGGAAGTTGCCATTTCAGGAATGAACGCCAGCAACAGCAGCATCTCTTTGTCCCAATTTCAACAAAGACCAGTGTTCTATTTTTTATTATCTGGCATGACATGTTGAATATTTTCGAAACTTAAATAGTGTGCATTTTTAAAAATTAGTTTAAACATCATTCATAATTAAAAGCTAATATTTTGTGCTGTTATGTTGACACAAACTAACGTAATAATTTTGTTTAGTATACACGTGCCTAATTGAATGAATGATTAACTGCACGTGTTGTCATTTAATATATGTATATGTGTATACATATATACATACATATATATATATATATTATTACTATTATTATTATTATTACGGAAATTTATATACAGCGCTTTTTTATTGTTGAATCTCAAAAGCGCTACTAAATCATAGACAAATAAGACGGACATTCATTGTGCAAATAAATAAGTTTTAAGTTGACTTCGAAATTGTAAATATGATAGATTAGGGTCACGTAAGTATGGAGGTAAACCATTCCAAACAATCGGGCCAAGAACCGCAAAGTTGCGGTTAATTGAAAATTATAATTAGAACAATATATATAAATATATATATATATATATATATATGTTTCTGTTAATTTTCATATATATGTTAATTTTCATATATATATATATATATATATATATATATATATATATATATATATCAGAAATGCAATTAATGATGAAAATTACAGCAAGTTCGGCGTTAGTTTGGTTTCTGTTTAATTTTTCGATTTTCCTTACGTTGGGTATAAATCAATGTCAAGTTTCTTGAATTCAAAACCAAAATTGTTATTTATTTTAAGCATGATAGAATATATAAGCATGATAGAACAAAAAAGCTTTCGTCGAAAGTCGGAATTTCAATAACATCTTTGGTGTTCGAATTGATACGTTGTGTATGTGGCCAACTGCTCAAGTATATATATATATATATATATATATATATATATATATATATATATATATATATATATATATATATATATGATTGTTATTGTAATGTAAGATTTCAACATTGTTTTCCAAGATTTGCCTAGTAATTTTAGTTTTGTGTTTCTCTTTTCATGTGATTCTTTATAGCGCCAGTTTGTACGCGCATCGTGAGTCTTCTCGATAACTTAGTCCTCATCATACCAATATATTCAGTCAATTTTTTCTCAAAAACGCTATTTTTTTGTCAAAGCAACGACTTTTACTAACTTTTAACACATACCACTCACCAATATTACATTCGAACAAATATATTAGATGGCTATGATCTTTTATCGATTCTGGTTTACTAAAGCAGTTGTTTTTCATCACAAGAGATGATGTTCTTTAGTTGGAGTAGTATATTCGTAGTTTAAAACTATCGTTTTCGTTGGTTGCTTGGACGATATTTTTTATCATTCTTTTCAAATATTTGTTCAACGTCTTGTTCAAAAGCTTTCGACATGTGGTTCTTATGATATATTACAATGTTATTTTTGTTGTTATTGTTAGTTGCATTGTTGTTGTTGCTGCTGATTTTTTGTTTTATGCGTTCTATTATTTTATGCATCAAGAAATTTTTATTAATATATACGTTATTAGTTAGTAATTTAGTGACTCTAGTTCTGTTCTCCTGCTTCCTACATCAGAAGAGTGCGTATATGCTAGATTTACAAAAGCAGAAAATGTGCTTTCTAGGTATGTTTGACAACATTCACTATTTCCATTAAGACATAAACCTTTGTTTGCTTCTTTGGCGTGTATTGAGGTTTTAAATTCACTATCAATAATTTGTATTAGTACGTCTAGGAATGGTAGATAATTGTCAGTTGTTTTTCAATTGTAAATTTCAGTTTAGAAGAATTTAGTCTTTGTAGAAGTTTATCTATAATAAATACTCAAAAATATTAAAAATGAAAGAATTAATTAAAGACCCGGTCTTCACCATCTTGTTTCTCTAAACTAAAAGCAAGTCAAAACAAAATAAAAAACAAATAATACTATTCTTGTATTAACGTTTTCCTTCTGGAAAAAATTAAGGGTAGTTTTGCGATTCTAAAAATTTGATAAAATAGGTACACTAATAACAATAATCTGCACGCGCACACACACAAACATAAACAATCACACACACACTCATATATATATATATATATATGCATATATATATTATATATATTGATGTATATATACAGTTGTTTTGAACTATGATTAATCTAAACAAAAGTATTAAAGCGATACTTGGCCGTATCGTTGAAGTCTCGATGAATGTGTTTTTATTTTGACAAATCTCACGAACATGAATTTAACAACGTTTTAGTCTTGATTTAAATTTTTTTACTTGACATGATTTATCTTAACCACAAAAATCCACTTAAATTTTAAAATTTATGAATAATTGTTTTCATCAGCTTGCTAAATGCGTTCCTGTTGAGATTTTTCTTTATATGTATATATATATATATATATATATATATACATACAATATACATAAATAATTTTTTTAGTTACGTTAGATTTTATGGAAATTGTTTCATTCACTGTTCTAAACATTCTTTGTGGCCGTATATTAATAAATTTAAAATTATTTAGTTATAAATTTTATAGGCTTGGCGTATTGAGATGGATTTAAATGTATAAAAATTGCGCTTTTATTCATGATTTTGTTAATCATCGTCGTTAGACGCACGTTCACGAAGTACTTGCATTTGCTCAGTCACTACTACGTGAATGTCAATTTGAACAGAAGTATGAAACGATGAATGGTGTGGTACGGGGAAGATAAGTAAGCTCGTAGCTTATTCATTGACGGGGTCAGATAACCAACGCGCAGCTTAGCTATTGATCGAATGTTGAATCATCAACGCCTTGTTTTTTCTTTTATAAGAATTGTCGTTATAATCGTTATAACAATTGCTTTTTGTGTTAATTTTTTTAAAATTATTTTTAAAAATGTTCTTAAATAAAAAAAACTAACAAGTAACTAACAAGTTAATTTATTATCCAGATGAACAAAAAGCTCTACAAATTTCATATTTTGCAGTAGATAACGTTATATAATAATCATCTGTTTTCTCGGGAAATTGGCGAATTGACAACTTAACCATGTTTTTCAGTTCTATCACAAAGTTATAAAAACATCATATTAGCGATACAAATTTAAATAACATTCAGCGTTTTTTATGTATTTTTTATTTTTCATCGCGATATATTTGTGATACATCAGACGCAATAGTTGCAATTTTTATTTGATTTTCGTGACATTTCTCACTCGTTGCTCAGAATTTTTTAACTATCTTATATTCGTTGGTTGGTCTTTGGAAATAGTTTCAAGTTTAATTTCAAATAGTTTAATTTCGTCATTATTTTTAACTGAGCTTCCTAAATTCTTCTGAACTTTTAAAAATTTTTACAAATAAAAGTAAATAAAATAGCTAAACACTAAAAATTATTAATATTATACAATATTATTATTATAGAACTATGTAAAATGGCTGAATCTAATTTTTATTATATAAAAAAAATCATGGCTCAGTTAGTTTCGTCTTTCCCAACTATCCATTTAGAATATGTATCAAGATAATAATGTAAATAACATGAAAATGTAATAATGTTTTTTACATAATGTAAATATATATATATGTGTGTACACAATGTGCAGTGGCGAATCTGGACAACTAGACGGTCAAGATTTTCAAGACCCAATTTTTTTGGTAATATGGTCAGAATTTTACTTACGATCTTTTTTTGGCTTATAACGTCAATTTTTTCTTCAAAAACGCTATTTTTTTGTCAAAGCAACGACTTTTACTAACTTTTAACACATACCGCTCACAACGGGAGACCCTAGATCCACCACTGTTTATGTGTGCGTGAATGGCAATTTTTAAAAAGTCACAAACTCTCACACATACTACCCCTAAACCAGGAAAACTTAATTTAAAGGCTTGTTCGTTTTCTAACAAAATCCCTACCTTTCAACTATTCATTTTAGACATTTATACCATCTCTTAATTATGTATCATTAACTAAACAAAGAAATAAAATTGCTTTATTAAAATGTCATCACTATTGTAGATTAACATTATTAATATACGCATGGCTAAAGGTTTCGTAAAATATTTTTAAAAATTCAAAAAATAAACAAGTGAGAGTTTTAAATTAATTAAACTTTATTTCAAATATCTTTACTGCGCCGTCCTCACTACAACTCGCAACCTCAAACGAATCAGAGTTTGATTTCGAGATTAGTGGTGACGGGCAGGTTGATTTTTGCGATTCTTCACACCTTGGTCTGAATCGCAACCTTTTCACAGCCATATGATGAGCCATGCTAAAGTAAGAGATTTTGTGTTGATATAACATTACAATTTATTAATAAATTATGAAAACAATATTTAACATGCGAAGAATATTGAAACAAACACTATAATTCAACAACTGGCACTTTTTTAAGACTGGCGCAAACTTAGTTAAAAAATGCTTAGAACTGTATTTAAACCGACAGTAAAGAATGGAAAAAGCAAGTTAATTGTTGTAACCCTCGACTTTGTAGCTACAAATACCAATGGTATAACTTCAAAGATCTCTATATTACCAACACCAGTGTTGTAGCTCCCAACGACCGCCAAATGTTCGTTATTCCGTAGGTTCAAGATTTCCGATAGATGAACACAACTGCTTCAAAAGCGAACTTTGTTGAACGTTTATTCGAATGCCAGCAGGAATAGAAACAATAAACTAATCCAAGTAACTACATAATAAAATGGCACGAAATAAACGAATGAGGGAGATTTATCGAACAAAGCATCTTAATAATTTTATAAAAATGTTATGAATTTTCTGTTAATATTAACCTATTATCGAGGGCATCTAAACAAATCCAGGGCGAAGCATCAGCGTTAAAAGTGGGAGACCAGAGATAAAACAACAGGTTGCCGCTTTCCAATCCAACTGACACCAAATATCTGAAATAGTCGATAAAAATTTGTGAAATCATAAAAGTTTTAAAGTGTCGTGTTAATTGTAGTAGAACTGCTCAGAAATGCCGTGTTATGAATATTACGTAAAAATTGAACTAGCAAACGTTTCTAGGAATTGAAAAAAGTTTCAAAAGATATAAAAATTTGTTAGTAAACTCTACTATCCAACTAAAACGCAATGCTAATGATTTATTACTCATTTTTTTTACCCTTACTTCATTTACTGCAATGTATTCTGGGAATCAACCTTTAAATATCTAATAAACAAATTACAGGTACTTTAAAAATATTTTTTACGCACTTCCCTCTTTTTAATAGGTCTGATCATACTAAACCACTATTTGCTAAATATAAGATATTAAACATTCATCAAATCAATATATATATATAACCCTTGTCTTTATATATAAAGTTATAAACAATGTAAACTACAGGTTTTTAAACTGTTTTAAATATACAAAATCATCAACAAGAAAGAATGGTATGCTTTGCTCTGTCATAAGTAGAACTAGAACAAATGGAAGAAATTGGTCGGTTCGAGGAATAAAGCTATGGAATGCTATTGTCAGTGTTGAGGCTAGAACTATGCCAATAAATTTGTTCAAAAATTATGTTGAAGAAAGTTTACTTAGTGATGTTGTTGAAATTGGCTAAATTTTGAGAATTGTATGACTTACTGAATTTTATTTATTTTTGTTTTTTCATTTCACCTGAACTTGAATAACAATTAATTTCTGCTCAAACTTTTATTAGTAGACAGTTTTTGTTTCTATTGATTATGATATTTTATTCTGTTAAATATAACATTTTGATTTATTGCTTAATTCGACAACTATTGAACATCTTGCACCTCAGTTAAGGTAATCAGCACAAGTTTTCATTATAACTTCTTGATTGCCTTTGATGTCAATAAAATTTTGGAAAAAAAAAAATTCGATCCGCCCGTCTTGCTCCATCTAGAAAAACATTGTTCTCTTCATTAAAGTCTACATATAACTAACGTTCAGTGAACATTAACAAACAATTCATTCCTCAAGTATTCCGATAACACTGCAACACTTTCCAATTTGAGAGGCACACACACACACACACACACACACACACACACACACACACACACACACACACACACACACACACACACACACAGAGATATATATATATATATATACACACACAGATATATATATATATATATATATATATATATGTGTGTGTATATATATATATATATATCTCTGTGTGTGTGTGTGTGTGTGTGTGTGTGTGTGTGTGTGTGTGTGTGTGTGTGTGTGTGTGTGTGTGTGTGTGTGCCTCACAAATTGGAAAGTGTTGCGGTGTTATCGGAATACTTGAGGAAAGAATTGTTTGTAAATGTTCACAGAACGTTAGATATATATAGACTT